CTTGCAGTGTGGTGAGTGGGTGAGTGTGTGGTTGTGACCTGCAGTGTGGTAAGTGAGTGTGTTGATGAGCTGCATTGTGATTGTTTAACACAGTTTGGATGAGACGAGATAGTCCACGTCTGGTAGATCGAGTCCTCAACATGGGTGGATGAATCAATGAGTGAACTTCACGGGGACGCTATTAACCATGGTAGTAGCGATAGACGAGTGATAAGGAGACGATTCTGTTTGTATTTTATCCGGGTACGCCGGTTCCTTAACATCTAAAAAAGAAACACTTATCATCACCGTCGGTGGTGATCTATCTACTGCTGGATGACCTCCCCCACACCAAATCGATCACGTGAATTGTTTGACCACACTTCACCAATCGATCACGTGTGGGTTGGTGGGACCAATCTTGATTTGAAGCTTTCGTGACTGCAGGAATCCCCATACTCTTTGGTTCTTTTCGGTAAAGTCACGTAGGTATAAAATAAAATAAATCACGACGTTTCGGGCGCAACACAAGCGTCCGTCATCAGGTGAGAAATCACTCGCCGCTCGTGTTAGCATTGGCTGGTATTCGAATTCGTGAAACACGTTCATATTGCGGTGCGTTCACAACTGCGCAAACAGCTCCACTCGTACTATATATCCAGCAGTATATTGATCACGGCTGCTGATGATGATGATCGAATGTTGAATTCAATATATTATTAGCGCCAGGATATGTTACTTCCTTCCCCGTCAAATGTTTCAGATGCGGACGTAAAGATCCGGTGACATCGTTTCTGTGCGCGCGTCCGTGTTATACCCCCCCCCACCGCCATCCCACCGCGCCCTTAAAAAATCCACAAATGGTCATAATTACCCCATGAACGAGAACAATGAAATCATCGTAACGTAAATAATCGAGGCACGCGTGACTAACGCGAACGTTCCCAGCGCTGCAAGGGTCGTTCTCGTCCGGTGGAAATGAACGAGCGGTGATTTGCACGTCGGAGAGCAATAAGTAATATTTTTAAAAACACTTTTTTTAAAACACGTTTTAATGAAATGTACCCTACTAAAAATGGCAGAACTCCGCGACTCGAGGAAGTGGCCCCGAAGCTTGCCATAACGTAAGGGGGCCGTGGCCAATTACAGCCAACGTCAGTTGAGCGTGGACAATAAGACCCAAGCCGAAACATAACATATGAAAAATAATGTTGAAATTTTTTTATTTTATTTTTTATGATAGAATATAGTATTGCCATCAGTATGACATAAGTATACCAAGTTTGCAGTCGATACCACATTGGGAAGTGGGTTAAAATTGAGTTACAAGATTTGAGCATACAACAACAGACAGAGTGAGTTAATAGAAAGCGCCCGGGAGGTATGTAGCGAGGGCACCCGTGGAGCTCTGAGCTCGGGTCGCCTTGCACGAGCGAGACATCGTGGACCGTGTGTGGGGGGCAGGAGGGAGGGTGGTGGTGGTGGGGGGGGGTGGCAACGGCGTGGGAAAGACTCCATCCAGGAGTGGATTGATAATGGTTGCTGGTGATATCATCGCGATTACATCAGCAGCATCGTTATCGTCAAATGTTTTTCGTCACAACACAACCGACGCGCTTACGTCCGTGGATGGAATTCTATTTCCAGCTCAGACCCCGGACTTGCTTGCCCATCGCCACGTATATAACCTCCTTGTTGTGACAGCCTCTCTCGCTGCTTCAGCAGTTCCACTGCTGGATTATATATTCTTTTTCCGCCAGAGGACGACCGCTTGTGTTGCGATCGCAACGTCGTGATTTATTTTATTTTATACCTACGCGACTTCACCGTTTGTTCGTCCTTTGCACTCGCACCTCCGCTCATCGCGGTTGGCTACGTACGAGGGTGCCAAAGTTGTTCCACAGACGTGCACAAATGTACGCATAGAGGTTGGAAACGTGCACCCTTACCGGAAACGTCCATGAGCAATTGAGCAACTGACCTGTACACACTTCATCTGAAAATAAATCAGCATCAGCAGCTGTGATCTAGAACAAGGAGTCCTTAAAGAGCTGCACGTGGCTATTTAAGGACCCCGGTGTTCACATTGACCGCACAGTGCACTGCCGCGGCTCTTGAGACATTGACGGGGGGGTGGTTGTTTTTTTCTCGCCGAACTCGAAACAAACGTCTCTTCTCGTTACGCTTCTGGGGTTGCCGACACCTGGTCTATACCCACGGCCGAATGGATGAAGGAGACGTCACTCACGCCCCTCGCAATCTCTCACGGTCCCCCGCAATGCCACAATCCGTCCAGCACCTGCAACGCCACCTTCATTTTTACCACTCCATCTCGTGCTGGGGGGAAGGTCCTATTGGGGGCGCGTCTGTCCATCCTTTGGCTTCCACTGCGTCCGATAGTCTTGATCGCCGACCACCATCTCTTGACGTGTCCTGCACGAGGCCACTTTGCGGCAGTCGATGCGATGTGTATATCCGGCGGGACGTTCTCTAAATCGGTGAGTCAGTAGCGCTACGAGCGTGGGGGGGCAGGGGGTGTCTGATGGTCAAAGCTACGAGTTGGGGGCCCCCCTTGACGACCACCGCGTGAGATAAGTTTTCAACAACAGTGTCAAAGAACAAAAACTTATTTCAAACGCGGTTTCAATGTTTTTGTTGTTGTTGTTGTTGAGAAAATTACTTTCACTTACGTTCACGCGTTGTACTTGTATTTAATCAGAGCGGTAACGTTTGACTTCCGCAAATCGCTCAAATCAAACATTGGGGCCCCACCTGACCGTTTCCCGCATCCCCCATGAGCCGATGATGTAAAGTTACTTCGCCACTGCGACGAATATCTATTTCAGTCTCTCGGCATCATAATCCCAGGCATGCATCTCTCTCTCTTTCGCCATGCTTCAATTCTCACGTGCTCTTTGCCCGTCACGTCGTTCCTTTTCCCCTTTTCGAAATCGTTCACTGTGGATCGTTTTGAATCACCCTTCAAAGTAGCGACGGCATCGCGAGCAATTTCAAAGCGCCATTCTTTTTCTCGAAGCGCATCGAGGTAATAACGACCGTTAGTTGGTGGCATTTGACTGCGGTCTTGAGATATCAACTTTTGCACGCATTGTACGATACCGTATTCTACGAATTATAAGAAGCACTTTTTTATTTCCCGGTAAAGCAAATTATAATCCGGTAGATGCCCGCGTGTGTTTCTGTGTGCCTGGTGCGGCGTGCAAACATCGCCACGAGGATGGCAACGGTGGCCGGGCATGGTTTTGGCCACATCGTCTCCTCGTGTGCCACTCCGGGGCCT